GAAGACTTCGTGATCATTTCCTGCTTTAGCATTATTCTATGAATAAGTAGGGCAATTTATGAATACCTTAGCACTAATCACTCATAGGTTTCACCAGAACCTTGAAAACAAGTGTTTGAATGCCGAAGATTGTTTCATGAATAAGAGTACATTTGGGCTATACGTCGAACTGTAAACTTCTAATTTTATCTTTGATCTCTAATGTGACATGCGTCAATGTGTATTTTCGAAATCCCTGAACTTATACGAACGTTTCCACGACCGTTGTTGCTACCTTCATGTCGAAGTCGGGCTTGTCTATCGTGATGAATCAACCGAGCTATACTGGCTGGAACAACCGTTCCTCAAGGTCCTACCATGTCAGACAGGTCGGTTAAAGAGCGGTAAGACTAAAAGCAACAAACCCAAGGTCCGAAGTCGCACTGCTGACTGTACAGAGGTGTGACAGCAGTAAGGTGTTTCCTTCAGACACCCAGCATGACAGCGATGCTGCCTTCTCACAAGGAGGGGTGGGGTTAGAAAAGGTCGGCCCTGAAAATGCACACCTCGCCTTATCCCACGGATATCCGTCTCCGGCGGTAAGGTCTCAACAAGTACGGAGCTAACACAAAAATTACTCATAAAAAGGTCGTGTGTGACCGACCTCAAGCAGTTGTCCCTTGGGCACTGCGGTCACGCTCCCAGGTCACTAAGACCACCTCTAATCCAAGTTCCTTTTCAGGTACCTCCAGAACAACCCTTCCACAGTGTGGGCAACCTGGAAGTGATAACCACCCTTATACCTCTAACAGCAATCAAGACCACTGTATTCCTAATCAACCTCCGTCCTCACTTCCTATTACTCCTCCTACATCGACTTTCACCTCTAAACTTCCTTTTTCGGCTTCCTCAAGTGTCACCATTTCCAAAGATTCTAGTACTCAAAACACTGTCCCAGGTCTACTGAAACCTCGCTACAAACTATACATTGGAGCCTTCAACGTACACACTCTATGTCAAATCGGTCAGCAAGTTTCCTTGGCTAGAACCCCAGAATCTCGTACCCTTGATGTATGCTGTGTCTCTGAAACACGCATACAGAATCCCAGTGTGGTCATTCACTTGACCTCACCTCGGCAAAACGGAGAGCCAACGAGATACACCCTCCATGTATCTGAAGACCCGATGCCCAGTTCTCGTGAACTGGCAGGTGTAGGCAAAGCACTAAGCATGAGGGCGGAACAAGCATTGTTAGAATGGATCCCCGTTAACAGTCGTTTATGTGCCGTTCGGCTAAACGGCTCCGTAAGAACTCGGAAGGATAGGGACACACGTCGTTGCCTTTTTGTCGTTTCTGCCTACGCTCCCACCGACTGCAGCTCGGATGAGGCGAAAAATGAATTTTACAGAAAGATATCTGAACTTCTTTAGACATAGTACTCGTAGGGGGTGACTTTAATGCGCACATAGGTAGTTTAAACCAAACAGAAAGGTATTTATGTGGGTATTTTAGTATTCCGGCACAACGAACAGATAATGGTGATCGTCTGCTGCAACTGTGCTCAGACAATCGTTTATTTTTAGCAAACACATTTTAAGCATAAAGAGAGACATCGTCTAACATGGCGACCCACTACATCAAGATTGTCGCTCATTCCGGTGTACCTGCTTGGACTCCGACCATGCCCTAATACGGGCACGCATCTGATTGCGCCTCACTGGACGCTATGAAGACCTATCAGAACTGAACTGATTAGCGAGAAAACCAAAAGTAGGTTCCAGGAACAACTGAGATCACACTTAGGTAGTTCTGAAAACGAGGCTGACCCAGATATTGTTTGGAAACAACAGTGACATCTATCAGTGATTTAAACCATAGGGTTACAAAGAACCAATGGATTTCTTCAAAGTCTATTGCACTGATGGATTCTCGTAAACTCATCCCATCAGGCTCTGAACACGATGAAGAGCGACAATAAATCAGATCTAGGTTAAGCAAAAGTCTAAGGAACGACCGTGAGCAGTGGTGGGCAACGAAAGCAAAAGATATAGAAAAGGAGGCGGCTATAGGGAACACAAGACAGCTCTACAGACTAATAAAAGAGACGAATTAATAAGTCAAGTGTAAGTGAGACTATTTCGGAAAAAGACGACACCCTCATCTGCTCTCAGTCCAGACGTTTAGAACGATGGGCAGAACATTTTAGAGAATAGTTCAGCTGGTCTTCAGCTACTCTACAACTACCCTCCATTCCCAGACAGTGTGAATGGAACATTGAAGTAGGTTCCCCAACTCTAGCTGAAGTTTAAAAGGCTATAGTTAATCTGAAACGAGGAATGGCAGCTGGTCCAGATGGATTGTCTCCAGAAGTCTTTAAGGATGGTGGTCCAATTTTAGCGATTAGGTTGACTAATATTCTAGCTAAGATCTGGGAGTTAGACGTTATCCCATCTGACTGGTCACAATCACTTATCGTCCCAATATATAAGAGAGGGTCAAAATCATCCTGTGACAACCATAGAGGGATTAGTTAAACTAATATAGTATCTAAAGTACTAGCCTCGATAATTATCGGACGCCTAACTAAGACTTGTGAACTGCAAACACAGGAGAATCAAGTTGGCTTCAAACCTGGTCGTGGCTGCATCGACCACATATTCACCATTCGTTAGGTTCTAAAACATAGGCATACTTATCGACGCCCGACAATGGTGGTCTTTCTTGACTAAGAAGCAGCATTTGACTCGGTAGACCGCGAGATTCTGCGGCAGTGTCTGTCATTGAAAGGCGTACCTCAGAAGTACACAAACCTTGTGAAGGCTTTTTACTCTAAAAACACTAGTCGAGTCAGAGCTTATGGCGAACTGTCATCTGCTTTCGCAACCTCAAGTGGTGTCAGTCAGGGCTGTCCACTATCTCGATTTTCGTTTAACTTCATCACAGACCTACTGATGGAAGTAACGTTGTCGTCGACTGAATTCTCGAGTATTGATCTCCTTTCAGGAGGTCCACTTACCGACTTAGGATATGCAGATGACATAGTCCTGTTTGGTGAAGACACTGATAAAATGCAGAGTCTTTTGGTAGTATTAAGCGACAATGCCAGGATGTTTGGAATGCGCTTCTCTCCCTCGAAATGCAAGCTGCTGCTTCAGGACTGGTCTGCGTCAACACCTGAACTAAGGATAGGGAGTGTAGTAGTCGAACGCGTTGACAACTTCACTTATCTTGGAAGTCTGATCAGCCCTAATGGGTTGGTGTCTGACGAAATCTCACCACGGATTCGAAAAGCTCGTTTGGCTTTTGCCAACTCACGTCACCTATGGCGAAGGCGAGATATCCGTCTATCAATAAAAGGACGAGCATGCTGCGCGGCAGTCCGTTTTGTTTTAATTTACAGCAGCGAAACATGGCCATTAAGAGTGGAAGACACTCGTAAGCTACTAGTATTTGACCACAGATGCCTCAGAAATATTACTGGAGTCTGCTGGGATCACCGGGTAAGTAATCGTCAGGTTAGACGCAGGGTATTAGGGAAGGATGGTAAATCAGTCGATGAGGTTGTGAATCTTCATCGACTGAGATGGTTGTGCTACGTGTTACGTATGCCTGAACACCGATTACCACGACGTGCAATGCTAGCGGGTGTTGGGGATGGTTGGAAGAAAATTAGGGGCGGCCAAACCAAAACGTGTCATCAGTGCTTGAAGTCACTAACTTCTAGACTGAGGCATGTTGGTAGATGCAGACTACTTGGTTGGGGTCTGCGCGACTGTCGTAACCAATGGTTGGAGATTCTTGGTGACATGGCTTAGAATCGATCACAATGGCGTCGTTGTATACACTTTCTGTCTTCCCTTAAACTAAGAGATTAAAATTGCTTCATATCATTCTTTCTACGAACTAATTCTTTCTTCCTGTACTATATCCTTATTGCAATCTTTCGCTTATATATTACCACCTCTGAATTAACTACTTTTATGAATCCGGTGTCCATCTTGTTGTGTTAATGAGGTATGGCAACTTGGACCGATGCATAAATGTGCCTGGTCCTACATTGTAGCCGATTGACTGACTAACGTGTCACTAGCAGTCAATGACACAAAGTGGTAGAGGGTAAAGTAGTGGACATATTTAAAGATCTCAAGCTACCATACATAGAAAAAATAGAGGCGTAAACCAACCCTACTTAACTGTTAGGTAAGTGATGTACAAGACTTGCTGATAATCTAGTGGTGTTTTATCTACGGAATTGAGTATATTGCATTTTCATATTACTGAACTAAGCAATCAACGTTCCCGAACTTATTCAGTCGCTTACTGTGAAACCGCCTTCAAGTGAATAATTGTCGATGACTTGAAGGACTAAACCCATGTTTGAATGGGCCGCTCCTAACTTTTCCAGTAGTCATATATAGCTATCATATATGAGGGTTTGTATGTATATTATACTTCTGCTTCAATAAACTAAAAAGTTTTAAACAGTCAGAATGAATGTTTAGATTTTCAATTTTCTCAGCAATTTCTTCATAATTCTACGCACACATATTTTCCTGACTAAATAGATAACTACGAAGACTCTGTTGGCATCATGTTTGAGTGACATAAATAAAAACCGTTAAAAATCTTAATGAAATATTTTTTTCAATAACTTCGTCATCAGACTCTACGGTTATTAGTCCATAATTATTGTGTTATTTTTACAAAAGCCAAAATAAGGCATGTATTACTGAATTAGACAATGTTATATGTTTAAAATGGCGAAGTTATTGAAAACAATTGTTTGGTCAAATATCCTTTGTTTTTGAAAAAAACCCAGTAAATAAATATTCGCCATGTTCTTAGTTTCAGTATCTTTAGCAGCTAACTTTCGAAACGATACATTACAGTATTGTAAGTCAATAAGTAGATATCTCAGTACTACTTCGTATTTGCTTGTAGTAATTTAGCATAGGTTTGAATGAATGACCGAAAAACTACTTTGAAATCTATTGTTTCTAAAATCTACTATACCATATTTAGGTGCAGAAACAACAAAGAAATTAGTTATATTTACACAACTACACACAACTACAAGATGGAGGAAGTTAAGATTATAAGTAATAGGTTCATCTTACAATTCATAGTTTTTTACCACGTTTTTTTGACCTGTCTAAATGTTTACTCGTCATTGCTTCTTTGTCAGGACATTGAATAACATATCGTTGAGGTATTTTAATAGCTGGAGCATAACCTTCAGGGTAGGATGAATCTTCAAAATAAAGGGAATACTCATCATGTATCTAGAATAAGAAAATAGAGAGTAATTATCAAATGATGAATTGCACAAAATGAATTGTATTTATTCACGTGAAAACGTTTATTAAAGCATAATAGTTCTCTTACTTTCATATCCCAGACAAAACTAAAATTATATTAAACGTGTTCATCACTTATTTTGTGCCAATAGTAGTATGTATGCTCATGAGATTCATGCGTAATAGTGACAATTTTATGTACACAAGACTGCTAATATAATATAACAAACCAATAAATCAATTGAATGTAGATGACCAGTATTTTCCGAGTTTCTATTCTTTAATTATTATGTATTCCTTTCAAAGTGTAGAAAGTATTAAGATAACACGATGAATAACTTACATGAATTGGGATTTCATCCACAATTGCTTTGTAGAAACATGTTGTTTGTGGGTAAAGAGCCAAAACAGTCTGTAGAAAAAAATTAAAATAAAACTAGTAGCTGTCGTTCAGAATCAGTTGATATGTGTGATATAAACGGAGAATATAAAATAAAAATCGCCTTTATATGAAGGGTAAGTTTATCTTTTGTGTAATTGTATACCACAACTAAAAAATCATTCATAATTTCCTAGGGACGCAGATTACACACCAAACTAGCAGACACTAATTAACTATTTACTAAATACTCGATAATTGAACAATTTGTTGGTGGCGATTAAAATATGATTTTCAAACTCAAAATTGAGTGATAATTTAATTTGAATAACTTAGGTTATCCCAAACGATACTGGGTTTGAGTTCCAAAGTGAACATTAACTATGCGATGCAAGCACGTCCAGTCGATGAGTCCCGAATAAGACGAAAGGCTCCTCCTGAATCCCAACGCTAGCCACATTCCACCTATTCTATTTAAAATTGAATAGTTTATCTCGAGATGCACATTGACACTATATACCTCTTTTCAAGCTGCCTCCAAAATATTATTGGCGGTCAGTGAGCAACGTTATCAAACACCCTGCTTATTTGGGAAAATAGGAGAGTATATAACCACACTGTTTACGTTCTAAGGAGATAATATAGTTATAACTTCAGATATACCACTTTTCAACCGACAACCCTAGAGAAGAGGTTTGTCTAACGAGTCGACTTCGAAACATTTGCATGTGTTCAACACTTTGACGATGAATGAAGAAATAATCCATAAATTCACAACCTACTCCTCACTGAGTATGACTTATTTAGTTAATACTCCCGAGGAAATCGGCAGTATACTTATACCGCGATAATCATCACATTATTTATTTATTTTATTTGAACACATAGATATTAGTACAAGGAGGCACCAAATACAATATGCGCCACACAAATCTCATTTGATTTGTGTGAGGGCTGTGATACTGCCCAGGCGCCCAGACCGAAGCAGGTGGTTTCTTAGGTAGCCACACCCGGAGCCTTCGACCTGAAGGTCTGATCCACAAGGCAGTGGAACAACGTAAGGAGATGCAGTCCCATGGTAGCCGGAGACCAACGATCGGTTTATACGCCATTTCTTCACTCAGGATACTGGAGCCCATGTGCACCATTGGTTTGGAATCAGGGTTTCCCAACTCCCCTAGCTGGACTCTCCATGTCCACCAACCCGTTTAAAGCGCCGGACATTCGCTTTTCGTCCTCTCAATTTTATAAACACCCCCCACCGCCATGAGAAGGCAGTGAGTAGGACTTCCCTGGCAGAGGCTATATACGCGTGGCCATGTGAGAGCATTTAAGGAGGGACAGCGGACTATCCCCACTCTCGGCCATACCAGGGCATTTGGGGGCGTCGTCACAGGTTCATCTTACAATTCGTAGTTTTTTTTACCACGTTTTCATTCACTTCATGTGTTCCCTTTTCGAAAATGAGTATGACTATGATATCATTAGTTAGTGATGTAATACTGGCTAACTACCGGGCCAAAATTTTGTCTCTACCTCTTAAAAAAAAGTAGTAGGCTGAGTTGAACATTGTAGAAAAAAAGCTTGACACGATAGGGTAGCAACAGATACCCCAAACAAAATGAAATAATGACAAATACAAATATGATCTATCTGATTCTCTGTGGTGCGATTCAGTAAGACACATGTAGCTATATGTATGCGTTTGTGTGGGAATATTGTGCCGTTTTTTTAGCAAGATTTTTTTCTACGGGATGGGGTTGCCGACCCCATGCCCAACCCTCCTCCTTTACCCAAACTTGGGACCGGCAGTAACTCTAGAAGAGCTACAGGCGGAGTCGTGAAGTTAAGACAAGCTGGTTTCAATACCACAGAGAGTAACATTTTCCTAAAGATTTGATGCACGACTTGATGAGTGCCAATAAGCATGTAGCCCATGTTCATGGTCTCCTACTGACTACCTCCAACGAACTAACACCATGATTAGGATTTTACTCTATAATGTTATATCAGTTGTGAGTCATGATTGAACTAGGTATGACAGAACTGATTTACATCTTACCTTTATCTTCTGACTGACCACTGGATTATAAGGAGCTCGAAGACAAATAAGCGTTAAAGTCTTGTTTATTGTTCATTGGTGGATGTGTTAAGTATCATATAAAAATTCACCGGTCTTAGTGGAAATATAAGTGAACTAATCGATAACTTGATTAAAGATGGATCATACAACTGCTTCCTTATCAAGACGGCTCAATCACAAAGGACCCGAGAAAATAACCTACTGTTTTCTCTCGACATGCTAATTAATGATGTGTATAAGATTAGAAATTAAGTAAAAATAATAATATTGGTTAGATAGTAAACAAAATGGGCCTGACTTACAGCACCTTTATTGAATATTGCCTCAGGATTTGTAATTGGATTAGCTTTCCATTTTGGTAAAGGTATAACTTTAGAACGGGATAGAGAGTAACGCCTTGACATAAAAAATATATACAATTTTTTCAATGAAATCTTAAATTTTAGTGTAAATAAAATATATGTACACACAAAAGCATGGAAAGCGAAAGAAAACAAGAGTTAGCTCACCTAAAAATGTGTTAGTTCTGTTTAGAGAATGAATGAAATATGGTTGCAATTTTTTCCTCGACAAAGTACAAACGCATATTAAATGAATAATAACACATGGATGAGAGGAATCAATGTTTAATAAGTTTTTATGAAACCAATTCAGATGTGTGATACAAATACACAGATGAAATTCAAAAAAATGGTCACACTAAATTATGTTTTGTTCCTTATACAGTTAATGAACTGTAGTCGTACAAGGTTAGGTTAAATAGGTGCAGATAAAATGTTACGAAGCATGCAAATTAATCTTTTTCAATTTTAATAAGAATGACGTAATAATATAATGAATAGAAATGATAAAACCATATAAAAATGATTTTCTCACAATGGTAGTGATTAATGATAATAGTAATGAGCAAGCTAAAAATGTTGAATATATTTGTGACGTGAACAGAACACTATTTACTTGCAATTAAATTATAAAATGATAAATTTATACGTAAAAATTTCATAGGAAATAGTTGCATTTTGTAATACTCACTTTGGCCTGCAAATTACGGAATATAAATCAATATATCTTGCTTTTTATAGGGTTCATAATCCATTTTGAAAGAACAAGGAATGTACATAACAATGACCATACCAAGCTTTTTTAAGTATATATATATATATATATATATATATATATATATATATAATGATTTAGTTACACAAACCGTTGTACTATTTAAACTTGGATTAGTTTTAATTTGGTTATTTATTCTCTGAAGAAGTGACTTACACTAAGCCACGAAAAGTCAGAAAGTCTAATTTTTCTACTCATCGGGATATTACAAATATACTTTTTATTTATAAACCTTAGTACAGTTGATTCATTAACTCAATTAACGATTACTCACTAAAAATTTGTCGTTTATGGATAAAATCATAGTTGACATTGACCCTAGGACAAATTCACATGACCCTACATGTTGACATCACATTGTTGAGACGATATTTAATTAACAATATTAACATCAGGAAAGTCCAAATAATAGTGATATCAATGGTGGTGATAAACACTAAACATTAAAAACACGTTTCGAAAAAGTGGGATAAGATCAACGGATCGAAAATGTACGGATAATATTCCAGTTAAAGATACAAAAGAAAAAGAATGAACGCGTCTGTATCACCTAGATTTCTTCAACCTATTCTTATTCTGACCATCAGTGAACGTCGAAATAGACGGTGCCCAGTCATCCATAGAATATGTCTGGGCGTAGTGGCGTGAGCCTGTAATCCAGCTGCTTGGAGGCCAGGGTGCAGGACTTCGTGGGACCGGGAGTTCTGGAATATGGGTGCTCATGTTACCCTCAAATGACCTGGTACGACCGAGGGTGGGGAGAGTCAGCTCCCCCTCACGAAATGCCCTCACATGAACACGCGTATACAGCCACTGCCACGGAAGTCCTACTCACTGCCTTTTCGCGGCATTACTGTTGTTTACGAAATTGAGAGGACGAAAAGAGAATGTCTAGTGTTTTAACCGGGTCGGTGCATATAGGAGATCCACCTAAGGAGCTAGAAAACCATGATTCCAAGCCAATGGTGCACATGGGTTCCCGGACCTAAGGGAACAAATGGCGTATGAGCCAACTAATGGTCACCGGCTATCATGGGACTGCATCTCCTTACGTTGTTCCACTGCCTTGTGGATCAGACCTTCAGGTCGAAGGCTCCGGGTGTGGCTACCTAAGAAACCACCTGCTTGAATCTGGGCATCCGGGCAGTATCACAGCCCACAAATAAATCAGGTGACTTGTGTGACGCATATGCATTCAGTTCCCACTTGTACCAATATTTGTGTTCAAATAAATAAATAAATCTCAGACACTTGAGTTGGGGATTAAGTCTCACTAACTGAATTGGCATATCTGCATAGTAACTTACGCTTAAGTTTACCATTGCTCCCTCTGTTGTTCCACAATAAGCGAGCAATGATTTGAAAAAACCCATGACCAAAGACTTATTAGGTAAAACAACATATACTAAGTTAAAAACCCAAAACAAATCCCTAATCTTTCAGCACACATGATTAAGTAGTGTTTAATATTATTTTTGGTAGTTTAGGTTGGTATACGGACGATGATTAATGCTAGAAAAACTTAGACTTTGATAGGAATCAAACTAGGATTATGATGAATAGTAGTATGCTGTAGCATCAACTGAGGTATATAACAGAACTATTGACTGGATTTAATATCAACTTCGAAGTTCTGTCCCACTAACGCACCAGTAAATTTACACTAAAAAGCATATTCAATAAATTAGTAAACAACTTACTAGATGACCCAATACGTCTATCGAAATATATCTTGTCAAAGCATATTACATACAGATATTGAAATGATAGTATAGTAGTATAGTAGTAGTATAATGTTCTCTGAACTAGACAGTTAAGTTGCGAAACCTTTGACATCCTGAACAACATCATCAAGTAGGCGCTGATGGTATCCGTACCATTAATGAAGGCTTCGCAAATACGCTATCCAGCTTAAAGAACATAACACTGACAGAAACATGTAAACACAGATGAAAAGTCTATGAAGTAATATAATTGTCTATCATTTTGACATGTACTTTACAAGCGGTTATAATCAATCGGGTTACGGTGACGGTATAAAACAAAACAAATCCACTATTAACAAAACACGAAGTAGACGAGTCTGATTTACACAAGCTGTGAAGCATTATATACAAATAAGTTAGTTTTTTCATCGATTTCTAATGGAGATATTAAGTGGGAACACCTTGACAATGTATTCTTTTGGCATCAGTTATTGTCACAAGAAATAACGACAAGAGCATACACCACTTATTACTTCGCTTACAATTTGTAACTACATTTCAGGACATTTTATACTTAGAAACAAGGTGCACAAAACAATAACCGTGGAGCCAATTTTTAGGTAACTTACATCTTTCCTTCTTCGGCATCAACATCTTCTACCTCATAGATTTCTTTATCAGGATTATACGAAACAACTTCAGCCAATATACAACCTTCAGATAAATTACAAGCAGCAGCTGCCACGTCTGGTTCTGGAACAAGGGCGGCAACATGATCGCCAGGATCAGCGGGAATATTTGGTGATGGTCCTGTTGCACCACACAGAGCAGGGGGACTGGGTAGAAATAATTAACTACGTCAAACTAACCTCTCACCGGGTTTACCTATCCAAAGTGGTATCGATTTGGCATTTTCTTGCAAAACTGACATTAGTACACCGCGGCGAAAACTTTTCGGACCAACATGTGTTCCTAAGAAGCTTGGCTGGCTATGTTTGGACTTACTCAACTTATATTCTAGAGCACGAATTTCCGATACTTTTTCTAAAGCAGCCATAAGAGTACTGTAAAAAAAATAAGGAAGTGTCCATTGACTGACTCACGCTTTTTGATGTTCAGCTTCACTAATTGCCTGTGTGTATAAGGACTTCAACTGACTTTTGACAACTTTAATTGTCAGTATTAGTGCCATAACTTACTAACTAACCTTTAGAACCACGTTGTTTGCAACGTAATTTATCAAGTGAATCAAGTGTTGGCTTCACGTTATTGCAGTCAGCCTATAAAAATCATGTTTATGCATGATAAAACATACAACTGCTTTTTTACATAAAGACAGAAGTTCATCAGCGCGATCTTTAACTTGAGCTTGTTCTGGAATCATACTTGTTGTAAACGCCATACTGACAGGTGTGTAAATACTTATGCTAAAAGTGAGTGGCTTATAGGGAAAGCATGCATATTATAGCATTATTTCAAAGAAATATTCTAAAATTCAAAAAATGGGTCAATGACAACCATCATTTGTTTAACAATAAAGTAAAACACCTTAAAGAATTTTTCAGGAAACAAGAAGTACCTTACGGATGTTTTCCCTACAAACAAATGCGCGTATAGACTGAGGATGAAGAAACAACTAAAACTGTTACAAACTAAACAGGACAGTGGATCTTAAGCTCTCCTTGTGTTAAGGGAATCAGTGACATTTATATACAATCCATTTTCAGTTATTAGATAAATCAAGTCATGTAACAGTAAGATAAAATATGAGGCACACGAAAATACGACAAATATAGATACTCCGTGTCCATGTATCCCAAGCAAACAAAAAGGGGAAAAAGAGGCGAACTTGGTGGTAGTAAAGGGTAGATCCCCTAAAAACCGATGTGAAAATTTAACGGTGAAACTCTAATTTATGGACGACCTTTGAACGAATTTTTAAGTGACCTTGAGTACATTAGCCAATCAGAAGAGAGTTAGTATAAAGTAAAACTATATTATAAAAGAGTGATGAATTACAATGGATATTCTTCTTTGACATTATTTGAGAACTTGTTGAGGTTTCATATAGGTTCAGAAGTTTCGAAATCATAGTGCATGCGGCGTAAGAACTCGTCCGTATGACTATAATAATCGTCCTCTGAAGCCGTGGTAGGGTTTTAAAGAATACTTTAGCCTAGACCACATGCCCTCAATGTTGTTTGTATGGACCTCCCGTCGTTGGATCAAAGAAATGACGTTTATACACCACTACATGATGCACAAAACCAAGTCTGGATAGGCATCTATACGCTTTCCAAACATCGGTATAGCCGCAGCTAATGTTACTGGAGACTTTATGATCCAATTTGCAACGATTATCATGGTTTGTCGTAGCCTTAGCCGTGACCGGGTAAAAAAGTGCCAGTTCGAGCAGATGTTTTTCTACAACATATAGTACAACGAGATATAATGTCATCGCGGCAGTCTGCACATCGTGCTGCAGTCATTTAATTGCCGCAGTCACAGACACATGAACTTCCTAATAGTCCGACCTGCTGTAGTCTCTCAACGATCACCTATTCTCTAAAATCTGCTGTAAAACGATCGAATGTGAGCATCCCGCACTGAAATTAGCGCCATGACCTTGAAATTCCTTAAACGCTTCTGATTGGCTCGTCCATAAATTAGAGTCCTACCAATTTGTTAAATTAACAAATTGTCGCTTTTTTCTACAGCCCGATGGAAAATTGCAAACTTACCATTAAAATTCCCCCATACAGAAAAATGTCCCGGTTAACACCTTTACTTTCCGCAAGTAGTCTACATTTTTCCAAAAATAAACACCGAGTTTCCTACTTCACCCTAACATTACCACATTAAATAGTTAATTATAGCTTGTATAACAAAGTTCTCCTTCAACACCTTAGGGCATGCTATGTTCCCCTCTAGTCCAGGACTAGGTATTCTTAAGGCCGACATGGGAATGTTTAAAAGACACTATTTAAAAAACGGACGGTAAGTTTTCGCTTTCCTGATTTAGCTGTCAACGCGTGAAAACTGTCCAAAAATGTATACGAGGACTCCATCAATGAAAATCTACTTTTTCACAGAAATACTTACAAAATATTAACACAGAATAACTGTCTTTATATCTAGAGAGTATGAAGTTTAGAGTGCTGGATCCATTTTATTTTTGAATTAAACTCAGGATCGACCTTGAAATACTAATTCCATTCATAAAAGCCGCCTTACATATAGGTCGATTAGTTGCAGACAGAATAGACGGAGCTTTTGCTTAACGGGCATCCTCACCGAGTAGCAGTGAATCACTGGTGTCTTCAGGTAGAAACCTAGGTGAGTTTATCAGTAAAAATAGAAAATATTAGTAAATTATAACAAAATACTGTCCTGGGTTCTTATGGATAAGTCTTTTCCTCTCGAAGGACTTCTGGGTAGTCGCAAGGACCATCTTTGCCGGCTATGAATTCCAGACTGGTCCTGAAGAGTGAAATGTGCGCATACAGCCAATTCTTCGATACTGGGTTTTTAATTTCTGGGTGTCACCCCTATGGTTTGCATTGGGACTGAGCTTAAGTACTTGACGGTGTGCGCTGGAGTGTCTAGGATGATATAGGTCATTAAAAGATCACGTCAGAGGCGCCTGCACTATGAGAGGCAAAGATTCAATGATTTGAAAGGCTCTTTATTAGTTTGGAATTTGAGTCCTCGAACTGAATTCGCCTTCCGATATATTCCAGTGTATCCTTATACTATGGAAGGAGGTGAGACACCATATTTCCATACTCTAAATAGGGTCGGATAGAACTGTTGAAGACTAAATTGTAGCGGTAAAGTCTTTGACATTTGATGTTGTCCACATCGATTTTAATGGACTCACATAGCTGAAGGCGCTCAGTCATGCATCCGCACCAGATCACGAGTGAGAACGCCGTGCTCAACAAGCCCTGCAATCGCTAGCCAGATTAGATCACACGATTCTCGATATATTGATAGCCTATCAAATATATCTTCGAACCTCCTCGCTTCTTTCTTTTGATTTCACTTGGTGGGTACGATTCATATTAGGTGCTACTGGTTAAAGCGTTGTCAAACTCCGAATACCTGTGGCATCTTCATTGATGAGCCCGGTGTGATATTTACTAGTGATGTTTTGGAACACTACGAAATAACGAAAAGATCTATCGTTAAACGCGGAGACCTAACCGATCGACAGAGGTTGAACCAACTCCTTAATAACATCGACCTGCAACACGTTCTGCGTCAGACATGTTGCTAAGAGTGAGAGAGGTGATCGGCAAAAGAACTTTCGATGATGGCTTATTCACATATTTCTTTTCTAAGCTTCCTCAACAGGTGCAAGCTGTACTGGTCTCGTTTCAAAACAACGCCATGGAGGAGCTGACTGCATCTGCCGACCGCATTTTAGAAACCATCAAATCTTCGAACGCCTAGGTCTTTTCAGTCGAAGAAAAGCCTCAAATGACCCTGACCTACCCGTGTGGTTAAGCAAAGGTGTTGTCAAAACTGTTAACAGCTCTATTTTAGACCATTTAGTTCAAACAGGACATACAGCCAATATGGAGCAATCTTTTGCAATAGTCTACCGTGTCAACAGCAGTCTACCTAATTCCGTCAGACTGCGAATCCTACAGACGGCTGAAGCAATTGCTATTCAAATCATTAAGCCAGAGCTTTGTATCCAAAAGAAGTATGTTCAGCCACTCTTTTTACCCTGGCCAACTAGCTAATAATCAATCTTATAATGTGGTGACGTAATCTGGTTAACGTTCATTTTGTCCCAAACTTATTATTATTATTACTGTTATTATTATTATTATTATTATTGTCTTTACACTTGATAACCCCTTTTTGAGGAATTTATTCAATATCCACTCCTGATACTACTATATTTGACTTAATTATTTTACATTTCCGATTTGTAATCACAATATTCTCTCTCTCTCTCTCTATCTCCATGTCGACCATATTTATTCTGATAATTTATCTGACAATTTCATTTCGCTTATAAACTGATTCAAGTTAACACCTCATATTAGTCATCCCAACATTACCGATTTTATTTTATATAACAAACAATTCCTGATTCATATATTAGAATTTCCAAATGATGTATTTTGCCTTAAATCTGGCCAATTTTATGGATTATTAATCTGGATTTATAATTGTAGAACCTGATGAGAAATTATTGAAAAGTATATTCTTCGTTCATACAATTGTGTTCTCCATTTTTGCTTAACTTCATCATAGACCTATTGGTGGAAATAACATTCTCGTCTACTGAATTCTCGGGTATTGACCTCCTTCTAGGAGGTCCACTTATCGACTTAGAATACGCGGATGATAAAGTCCTGTTTGGTGAAGACACTGATAAAATGCAGAGTCTTTTGGTAGTATTAAGCGACAATGCCAGGATGTTTGGAATGCGCTTCTCTCCCTCGAAATGCAAGCTGCTGCTTCAGGACTGGTCTGCGTCAACACCTGAACTAAGGATAGGGAGTGTAGTAGTCGAACGCGTTGACAACTTCACTTATCTTGGAAGTCTGATCAGCCCTAATGGGTTGGTGTCTGACGAAATCTCACCACGGATTCGAAAAGCTCGTTTGGCTTTTGCCAACTCACGTCACCTATGGCGAAGGCGAGATATCCGTCTATCAATAAAAGGACGAGTATACTGCGCGGCAGTCCGTTCTGTTTTAATTTACGGCAGCGAAACATGGCCATTAAGAGTGGAAGACACTCGTAAGCTACTAGTATTTGACCACAGATGCCTCAGAAATATTACTGGAGTCTGCTGAGATCACCGGGTAAGTAATCGTGAGGTTAGACTTACGGTATTAGGGAAGAATGGTAAATCAGTCGATGAGGTTGTGAATCTTCATCGACTGAGATGGTTGTGCCACGTGTTAGGTATGCCCGAACACCGATTACCACGACGTGCAATGCTAACCGGTGTTGGGGATGGTTGGAAGAAAATTAGGGGCGGCCAAACCAAAACGTGTCATCAGTGCTTGAGGTCACTAACTTCTAGTCTGAGCCATGTTGGTAGATGCAGACTACTTGGTTGGGGTCTGTGCGACTGTCGTAACCAACGGTTGGAGATTCTTGGTGACATGGCTGAGAATCGATCACAATGGCGTCGTTGTATACACTTTCTGTCTTCCCTTAAACTAAGAGATTAAAATCACTTGATATTATTCTTTCTACGAACTAATTCTTTCTTCCTGTACTATATCCTTATTGCAATCTTTCTTTTCTATATTACCACCTCTGAATTAACTACTTTTATGAATCCGGTGTCCACTTTGTTGTGTTAATGAGTTATGGCAACTTGGACCGATGCATAAATGTGCGTGGTCCTAAGTTGTAGCTGATCGACTGACTGACTGATTCTATCGCTATATTTGTTGTGTATTATATGTGTGAAAACGATTGTTTTGGGTATTTACGGCAAATTTGTGCAAACTGTCTTTCATAAGTATTTAACAATAGACTTTTTTCAGGTAGCCCTGAATTTTTGTGACTTCCACTGAAATTATTCATGATCTTTTGTTAAGAACATGAACTAGAAAAACCTCCTTTTCAGTAGCAGCTTTAAGATTTCCCTATCAATCTATGGACAAGAATGTGATAACTTAAGTGTTGATTTTCCAAGGAACTGCATATTTATGATCACTCACATGATGTCTTTAATGAACTGATTTTCAGTTTTATTTTAACTGATGACCTTTGTAATATTCTTTTTCATGACAAAGATGTTATAGAGTCGCACATTTTTATTTTGTTTGATTGTGAAGTAAAAACAGTCCAATAGGCAATCTCCTGATTTTTAGATATGAGTATAGCGACTCACGTGCAAACGGGTTTATTCTCATTTAACTCAGTTAAGCCCTTTTGCTAACTTATTTAGCGGACAAAGCCATCCGCACTATAACAATTTATTGTACCCTTATTATTATTTTGTGCTTGTATGAAATACGCATGCTTGAATATTGCTTACGGCCTACGCATTTATGTCACTCTGCTAGTCTCACTACTAACCGCTTATCTGATTCGATTACTCATTAATTTCACATGCTATATATATGTCCATGTTATTCATATGGCTGACTCTGCTTTCTCACTCGCTTGATTGTACTCGACTACTTACATTCGCTCAGTCGCTCGCTTGCCTGTTTGCCGTTCGACACAACTCTTAATGCTCGTTTAATGCATCTGTAATTTTGGACATCTGTATGTGTGGTTTCGAAATAAACGTAATCAACGCTTCGTATTCGCCTTCTGAATAATATACCGTTGGGGTTAAATAGGACGGTTATCAAGACGAATTGTATACGAAGTTTAAGGGATATATCGAATACCGACCACCACATGAGCATTGTCCGCAAGAAACCAAATGATCGGTTTGTATAGTTTGGCAATGAAACAATAGATGATTATCTCTTTGATTGGTTACTGTTATTTCAGTGTCTGTACCACAGTAGAATTTGGTTTGGACTGTCTTTATTTATTCTTTGGAGAAGTGGCTTACACTGAGTCACACGAAACGTCAGAAAATCTGATTTTCTACTCATTGGAATATTACAAATATATTATTTCATTTTTTTATTACTATTATTATTGTTATTATCTATCGAACAAAAACTGAGTTGATTTACAAATTCAAATCATAAACGCATTAATTTCCAATAAAATATTATGTTTTTCTTCTGACTTCTTAAGTTATGGAATGGGTTAAATGTTTTAAACGTAACTTCTAGGATAGTGGTTCCATATGACTGACCATAGAGTGCACTTATAAGTAGCTTTATTGTCTAAATTTCCATAGAATTACTAAATTATTAGGGATTAATCCATACAATTTTTCATATTACAATAACAGCTGAAAAGCTTATCTGTTATTATATTTATTATATGTTTCGATAGTTTAAACAATATGTTGTCATAATGACATTTCATAATTCACAAAAGCATACGTCTAATATTAATTACAATGAGGTTTGTAGAGAATGTATTAACTTTAATGGTTGAATACATGAGTCGATTGAAGCTAGAACATCAATGAAACTCTAAAAGCACTGGACAGTCGTTTCGTCACAGTGTGAGAAACCTCAGCATGATGCCACACGTTGGATTCGAATGCAAAACATTCAGCCTTGCGCGCAAACTCTTAATTTTTAGACCATTCAGCCGGTCGGCATCCAAAGATGTTAATGT